CTCCAATATGGATGGTACCATTTGTTGCCCCCCAACCAGCACCAGATGCATCTGATTCAATGGTGAAGGAAGGGGTTAAATGGGAGATTTTATTGTACACTTGAGAAATATTGCATGACCACCATTGCACATCCTCCCTTCCTGTTTTGGACAATTGCATTGGCCTATCAAAATGACCATAGTTTTGTTTAAGGGCATAAATTTTGTCTTTTTCCAAAGCCCTGTAGTGTAGTTTGCCATATTCTACAGCAGGAAAAGCTGCAATTATTTTACCAAGAAATTTAGCAACTTTACGAATCGTAAGTTGATTACTTGTAAGCAATTCATTACACCCTTCCAAAATATCAGCCTTTTTTGAATGAGTAAGGGCAACAGTCATATTGACAGTTTATTTCACACCCTAAGAAATTTATGATCTGTTGTGGGTATGGTATAACCATAGACTTGGTTTATAATAAATCCCAAAGTAGAGAATATATGGCAAGTTTCCATGGCTGTGGCCTTGGTTTTATCTTCGGAAGAATTGATGCAGAGTATATCATCAATATAAGCAAGTACAATATGACCTTTGCTACGAAGGTATGAAAGTAGGGGTTTCAATATTTTTGTGAAAAGTCTGGGCCCAGAGCTTAATCTATTCGGCAGTACTACATATTTGTATAATTTGCCTCTCCAGATGAATTTCAAATATTTCGTATTCGAAACAGCTATAGGTACTGTGTAGTAGGCATCTTTTAAGTCTACTGATGCCATATTAGTCGCCTGGGGAAATTTTGGTTATAACACTAGCAAATGTGTCCATCTTCAAGTGTTTGTAAGTAACAAACTCATTTAACTTTGAAAGATCTAAGATCATTCAACACGTTAGATCGTCATTGTGGACTTATAAAATCCGCATACGCTATAAAACTAAAAGAAAATGCATACTTTTGGAGTCCGTACTGAGCCCAAAAAATCTGCAATGAAAATATAACGTGTTATTCTATATCCATCCCTTTTTTGGCCTAGCAAAAATATTTGATACAACTTGGCCACTCTTAAATGTAGATGGCTCTATAACCCCTTTTATTAGAAGTTTACTAATTTCCGTGTCAATAGCATTGCCATTTCATCCCTTAGCTTATAAGGATGAGGAATTTTCCAACTCAAAGACATAGGAATTTGTTTTGAGAATTCAATTTTATAGCCATTTATGGCAGTTAGTATGTATGGGTCAGATGTATATCTTACCCAAATGTCAGCATATAACCTCAGCCGACTCCCGAATGCATCATGTGAAACTATATGTAATGAAGAAGTAGTATTATTAGTAAGGTTTCCCGTACCTACATACCTCCTCTGTGGGTTTTTCTGGCTTGTCTTTGCCGGAATCCTCTTTCCGGGCTGATGTTGCGTCGCCCAAGATTGGTCTGGGCGTCACCCTCTGTATTGTTGTTGCCCTAAAGAAGGACGGTTATCCTGGCCTAGAAAAGGACGATATGGATTGAACCTTGACCTTGGCTTAGAGTGGCTGGGTAGTTGTTTAAACAGCCCTGCTGTTGCTTTTTGCTCATCATCTAGCATTTTAACCGTTTTCTTAAGATCACCAAAAAGATACTCATTTGGCTTATTGGTTGGTTTGCACAAATGTACATATCTGGCATTTAACTCAGGCTTTTCCCTTAGGGAAAGTAATTCATAATTTGCGTTTGCCAATAGAGCCATTGAATCTTGCACCTCTGTATTTTTGTCCCAAGTGTATATTTATTTATTTATTTATTTCATTTCATCAGACCAACAGCGAATCATCGCCACTAACAGGCTGGTAAAATATATAAAATTTAAATACAGTATATCAAATATATAGACGAAAGAGTACAAAAATCTCACCTATTCAAATGATTAATAATAATAGAACGAAATATAGACAAACTATTGTGAAAATGTCAATATTAGAGGTTAAAATAAGAGAATTATATTGAAGAGAAAGTCTAGAAATAAAACTACGTTTACAGACATCAACTCTACAAAAGGGGACATTAAAGGTATAGGTATAGTGAATCTTGCCATAGCAATAATCCCTTTAATTTGGGGTTTTTGAATTCTCTGTAGCTTAAGGTCTCTTGACCGAGCTTTAGATGAGATGCTGTCCCAAATTGTAGGATTAACCTTTGGGACCACCAGATTAACTGCATTACTTTGGCAGTTGTAGGCCTTATGGAGTTCACTTGTTGCAGTTTCTTGCATAGGCGAGTTTACAAGGTAATTCAGACTAGCTGCAATATTTTAGTTAATGGGCGGTCCCATTTCCAGTGTTGCTGCGAACCTTGTAGCAAATCCAGGAGGCTTTTGTTCCCCTGCTGGCCGGGAAAATCTGTTGTCGCCCTCCTGTTGAGGGTCCACAGGCTGCCTAGTTCCAGGCCCATCCTCCTCACTTCTGGCTGTAGCAGCCACAGATAATATATCATCATCCTGGTAGTCAAAATATTCATCTCCCTCACTGTGGATGGAGGACGATACAGCCGTATTATTACTCAGAACTTGCATTAACAAATTCGATAGTGTTTGGTTTTGTAAACCCTGATCGTGAATCGATTTTTTGATTTCCGCCAAGCGAGTGTAAATCAGGTTACCTGATGTCGATGCTGGCTGTTTGGTCGATGGCGCTTTACGCGCCTTTGTAGCCATTGACATTGTTGAAGGAGGCTTAGCTCCTGTAGAGGAGGGTTTTGTCTTATCCACCTTTTTCCGGATTTCCACCACCTCCTCCGAGTCCTTAATACAATCTGATTGTTCCAAGACTTTGCCAAAGCAAAATAAACTACAATATAATAGCTTAAATGGAACAGAGCTTGAGTATTTTGTTTACAAACTTATGTGAGTGTCCGGAGTAGCGGTTACCGCTACTCGTACTTCGTCGTAATGGAGTGTCTGTTGTCTGCGCGTGCGCGTCGGGATCTCAGTTTACAGCGAACATATTATGAAATAAAATAGAAGTAAGTGACCCAGAGGTGTTAAATGCTATACATTCAGTTTTTGAAGCATCCATGTAGAGGCCGACAGTAGAATCTGTTTCTTTTAGCCGAGTAAGAAAGAGTTGAGGATCAGAAAAACTGTTGGATAGTAAACTCAGATCATCCTCATAGCCAGTATCTGTGATAGTATTTTCCGGGAGGTACTGCTTTCTTCTAGTGTGAACCCAAGGTGTTCGTTTTCCATGAGCGTAACCCTCATGACGTTGTCCACTACTATAATAAAAAGAAATGGGGCAAGGGTATTTCCTTCTTGAACTCCAGAGGTGATGTTGAAAAAGGAGGTTTCGCCATCGGAGAATATCACTTTGGCTTGAGTGTTGTCATACATGATAGAGATAGCTTAGGGTTCAAGATTATGTAATATTAATCATGCGTTGAGTGATGCGCAATACATGGCAATTTTGCCACTCCTTATGCAAAGACCATAGTGCGTGGTGAAGAGCCACCCTTCATGAGGTGACCCTGTTTATAAATATCATAACAAAACACTATGACTCTAGAGGAGCATACACCTCAATAAAAAAGCAGGATACCTTAAGATCTGTATTTGTGATACCACATTGGTAGGAGATGCGACCGCCAATGACTATGAGCAACTGAAAGTTTAATAATGAACATATGTTATAATTATTCAAATTAAGGAGTTTTATTGTTAAAAAGTCTATAATCCTTTAGTTTTATTTTTAAATGTGTTCTTGAATTGGAGGTCATTTTGTCACTTGGTCCATCCATAAAGTTGGTTATGGTCCCGAATTAGAGGGGTCTCATAATTAGAGGTTAAGCTCAGTGTTAAAAGATAGGCGGTCAGTTGGTACTTTAGAGGGTCTCCAAATTAGAGGGGTCTCGAATTAGAGGGCAGCCTGTGCACAATGATATTTTTCATGAAAATTGCTTTTGTTAGGCCGCATGTGGGCCATAGTTTACACTATGCTACCTGTGTGCTAGTATGTTTTGAAAAATATGAGAATTCCCGTCCTTGAAGTGTTCGTGCACTCGTGTTGAAAGTCTTCTATTGGTTTCTCCAATATACGTGGAATTACATCCCACACAACTAAATTTGTATACAACACGAGCACGGAACATTTCGGGAACGGGGTCCTTCACTCCTAGAAAATTAGAAATTTTGAAAGATTTAAAAGCCAGCTTAATTGCAATTCCATGACAATATTTCCTAGTAATTTTGTTGATTCTGCTTTGCGTATTACGTGCAAACTGTAAATATGGCAATTTAAAATAGCAAACATTAACATTAACATTATCGTTGTCCTTAGGGGTCTCTTTAGAACCATGGACGAGAGCATCACTTAAATTTCTATTGATTTTATCATCAATAAGTTTATTAGGGAAACCATTTTTACATAAGATGGTTCTAAGAAATTCGATATCTTTATGAAAACCTAGCCAAGAATTATTTAACTTATAGACTCTATCAATTAATGTGCAAATAAGGCCGTTTTTGTAAGATGACGCTGTAAAGCTCAGAAAATTAGTGAGGAGTCCAGTGAAAGTAGGTTTCCTATACACCGATGTTTTCAGAAATGACCCACCATTCTAACAAAACATCTAAAAAAGGTAGTCGTTTATTAATTTCATTTTCCATTGTGAAGTTAATGTTCGGGTGCTGTTTGTTAATATAATCAAGAAATTTTGCAGCATGATCATTTGAGTTGAATATACAGAAAATATCATCAACATAACGACGATAAAACGTAACCGGTGTGAGGGTGAAGTTAGTTAGCCAAGTTTGATGATAATGTTAATGTTAATGTTTGCTATTTTAAATTGCCATATTTACAGTTTGCACGTAATACGCAAAGCAGAATCAACAAAATTACTAGGAAATATTGTCATGGAATTGCAATTAAGCTGGCTTTTAAATTGTTCAAAATTTCTAATTTTCTAGTATGTTTTGTTTTAGAAGGCAAGTATTCTAGAGCTTGGGAGCTGGTATTTAAGAATTATTTTACAAAATCTTCTGAATTTCAGAATTCAATGCTTCTGGCAACAGACTCAATGCCCTCCCTGATGAGTTTGGAAACCTTGCAATGCTCACCTATCTTAACCTGTCAAAAAATAGATTTGTAAAAGTCCCAGAAGCTGTATATAACATGGTGTCAGTAACTCATCTAGACTTGTGTAATAACCAACTAAATGGTAAGCTTCTTTTGCTATTTCTTATTCTATTTTCATCTTCTATTAACTTACCACCATCATTGTGTTTATCCATGCCGTTTTCTTATCTCATATTTTAAGGATTATAAATAGTTGTTCCTTTGTTATAATAATGACGCACTTATTTGCCAATTTCCACTATTGTTTAACAGCTATTGTTTTTGTACTGGTTTTTTCTCTTCTCCATTTCCATATCTTTTTTCACAGGGTTTTCTCACCCCCTGTTTGAACTTTGCTTGGATCGTCTTCAAAAATGGACCATAATTTGAAGGCCGCTCTCCTTAAAATAAGTTGGTTATTGTGAATTTAAGGACGAATACAAAACACACAGGTCCAACATGTCCAATACTTGTAACACAACTACTAATTTATTCATAAACTTCATACGCACTATACTCCCTGCACCTTGATAGCCACCAGCCATAACATAAACACCTATGAGATGCCACATACTGTACGTCAAACATTAAACCAATCGTCAACATTCTCCCAGCCTGATATTACAAATATCAATCTACTTTATGTGGGTAGACACTTATTATTATTATTACTATTATTATTGTATATTTATATAGCGCATATCTAAAACTCTATGTGCTTAATAATTCCAAATTAATCATTATTTATTTTATCATTTAATTGTTAATTAATAAAAAGTATATAATTTAAAGAATTGTGAAATTACAATGTGTGATGGTAAACAACGCAAGGTCTCAAAGGGTCAACCATCCATCACTACCCCGGTGCAATCCCAGACCTCTACCTAGGTGGTGCGAACTAAGGAGCAGGTTACACATTTGCCCTGCAACAGACAGATGGGTACTTGGGGACAGTGACCAAGATAGTGGCCCCTAGAGACAGAGCAGTTACATTTGTAATCAAAAGATAGAGAGTAAGAAAAAAAAAAAAAATACAATAAACGACTGAAGAAGCATGGGAATTTAGTTTTCACCAAATACGGAAACAAAAAGGTGGGTTTTAAGTCTTGATTTGAACTGTCCGACACTGATGGCATCACGTACATCGCCAGGAAGTCCATTCCAAAGAGTAGGAGATGATATGGAAAATGCTGCATCCCCGTAAGTGATAGTTGCAGGTGCTCTCGGTAGAGAAAGGATCGCTGTGACGAGGATCTGATAGCATGCTGAAGCTTTTCCATCTCTGTTTTAGGGAGTATGTGATAAAGACTGTTACAATAGTCCAGGCGAGACAAATGCATGCAGAAGTTTAGTTGTTGGTTCATTAAATGAATAGATGACTGACATACATAATTAATCTGTTTTCATTTTAAGAGAAAAATCCAGATGTACATCAAGGTTCAGATGATGTATCAATATTTGTGTTTACCAATGTTAGCAAACAGAAGGGGTAACGAAACTGTGATGAGAAATGTATGAATTGTGTTGTTACTTATTGAGAAACAGATTCTTGGAAAGTGACCAATACTTGATGTCCTGAAAACAGGTAATAGTTTTTTGCATCGCCAGGTTTCACTGAAATGAATGACAGGTTAAATATAGTTGAACATCGTCAGCGTATATCATGCAGTGGACACCAGCATTCTTGGCAATCCTAGAAATTGGGACAGAATAAAGTGCAAAAAGTAAAGGGCCCAAAACCGATCCTTGTGGGACCCCAGCTTTTGGCAATCATGGTAAAGAAATGCTCATTAGTCTTCACTGACTGTGATCTCTCCTGAAGATAAGAAGACAGCCATTCAAAAACTTTGCCACCGATTCCAAAATCAGATCCAAGACGCCTAATAAGAACTGCATGAACAACGGTGTCGAAAGCTGACGAGAAATCCAATGTAAACAGCAACGCTTCATGACCACTGTCAAACGCTAAAAGCAGATCATTTTTGACATGGATCAAGGCAGTTTCTGTGCTATGAATAGGGCGTTAAGCAAAAAAGACTGGATCTGACAATGGCAGTCCTCTCAAGTACTTTGATAGGTGTGGTATGTTTAATATTGGCCTATAATTTCTCAAGATTTCAGGATCAAGTGCGGATTTTTTAGAATTGGTGTAATGGAAGCAGCCTTCAGAGCAGATGGGAAAAATCCAGTTGTGAAACTCAAATTTACTATTTCTGTAATGATAGGTAGCAAATGACCTAGACATTCTTTGAAAATGACACTGGAATGGGATCAAGATCACCTGATTTATTGTTTGAAGAAGTTATAACCTTGAACATGTCATCAGTATTAACAAAGTTCCAGTTTACTAAGGGCCCGTTTATACAACACACCAATATCCGCATTCTCAGCCCGCCAAAGTTATGTGTGTAGTATAAACGCCGTCGGATTGCGTGTAATTACATTACCATCTGGCAAAGAGGCTACTTGACGAACCGGCCAAATTTGGCCGGTTCGCGACCTTGCTAGGCCTACTTGGCACCCTCAGGCTATTGTTTGACCTCTCGTAAACACAGCGAGCGGTAATTAATCAACTGGATGGGGTGGCTAACAAGACAGTTTATTCGCTGCATTTTCAAGCGTTGCTGGATAGATTCCGAGAAATCAATAACTGATAAAAATGCTTACTGGTATCACGGGGCGTTTGAAATATTACATAATAGATTATGATTATTTCTTTGTAATTACCGCTCTCTCAGAATGCACGGCGAAAACAAGCGCAGATTGTCATTCTTTGCTTTTATTTTGACAAGCTCGGACGTGTGTAGACCTACAATTATGAACTGGACCGACGGTGCGACCCGTGCCTTAATAAATATTTGGGGGGAGGAGAACATCCAACAGGGGCTAGATGGAACTCGGCGAAATGCGTCCATATACGCA